GTCCCCCCCCCCCCCCCCCCCCCCCCCTCCCTCCATTTGCTTGCCTGACTGCCTGCCTGCTTGCCTGCTTGTCTGCACGCGTGCACGCACACATCTGTACGAGAAAGCGTGCATGCGTGCGTGCATGCGTGCGTGCGTGCGTTCGGGCAATCGCGAGTGCGGGGTAGCCGCCGCTCACATCGCTAACTGCTTGCGAGCGAGGAATTAGCGAGTGAACGAAGGAGCGAGAGCCCACGAACGAACCGCGCGGCTCGTTATGTTCGCCCGATGGCGAATATATAGAATATTATACGTTGTATTCTCTTTTCTTTATTCTCTTAACTTCGTTTATCGAGCATCTCCGAAAGCCTGACGCACGACACTCTTTAGCTGTTTCCGCGAAAAAATATCGTGCAAAAAATATCGGTTTCCCCGTCGTTTCGGTTATGCTCAATCAGCCGTGTTATAATGAAGATGATTGGAAGAGAGAGGAAAAATCGATACGTTCTGTAATTCTTTGTTGATTTTGTTAACTAGGTTCCCGCAGGCCCTTGCGATTAATTGCAAATAAATTTAGGACGGCACGATACAGCCGCGTAGTCCTGCAATTTCGAGGGAATTATGCACGTTCACGATTTTCGCTGAAACTGGCCACACGTCCCTGTCGCACATTCTGAAAATGGTCAACCAGACCTTTGATGAAATACCTTTGATGATTTATTTCGCTGGAACGCGACCTTTTCGTCCGGCCATCGCCGTTTCGTCAGTTCGTTACTCGTATAGCTACAAAGAATTTCGAGGACCGTCGGTATGAGTAGCAACGGAATTACGCGTTCGACTAATTCCGAAAAGTTCTTGAAATTATTACGCGATGTCGTGCTCTAATCTATTTGCGTCATCCGGCAGAATACTAAAAGTCTAATTAGGAGTGCGCTAATTGAAATTGCAAGTGGCTTAGTCGGTGGTTAGCGAATAGACCAGCGTATTAATTGACATTAATTGAGTCTCAGACTAGCATTAATAGCTGGCGGCTATCTCTATCTCGACATATTTTTGTCACGACGTGACCTTTATTTACTTTTTACAGAAATGCGTGCCCTGATTCCTATCATTAGTCAGTTGTTTGGAATATGTTGGAAAAACAAAATGTGTTCGATGAGAGACTACCGCGTAAGAAAATAATTGTTACATCTTCCTCGCCAATCATTCATTCATTTTTATATTGTTATTCTATTATTTTTATTTAATTCGGTTAATTACCTAATAATTTTTTATTGTTAATTATGTAAGAGTAATTGCGTGTATGTGCATCTGAGTTTGAATATGTAATAAAAACTCAAAAAAAAAGGAAAAGTGTCTTCTGTTTTTTTTTTGTTTACTTGATAATTTCTTTAGTCATATTTCCGAAAAAGAAACGATTAGGACGGATAGGACGATAAAAAGTAATCTGAGAGATTACATTCAAACTTCTTTCTCTCTCTCTCTCTCTCTCTTCCTGAGATGTTCTCGGTTCTCGTAGCTCGTCGGGGGCTACCGTTGCGCGATAGCAAGTAGCGTCCGGCAAGTAACGCAAAATTTGACGAACGGTAAGCCGCTTAGCCCTGAGTGGCCAAACAGGCCGCGTAGATAATTCTTGGTCAACGGTGCATTAAGCGTACAATATTTATACGGAATTAAGGTTGGCTCTAATTACTACTCGCTACTACTCGCTTGCTAATACCGGAAAGACGCGTAAAATCGATCGTTAATCGTATCTCCTGCCGCGAGAAATTGAACTGATCGAATGACCATCAGTCTTGCGTAAATGAACGTTAAATCGGATAGAGTGTATTCGCGAATGCGATCTGAAACGCAAGGGGACTATCGTTTATATGCCAAGATTTCGATTTCTCCAAAATGACATCAAGTTCCTTCTGATTTATTTTTTAAATTCACGCATTGAAATCAGAGATAACGAAGAACGCAATATTTCGTGCTGTTATCAGTTAGATTTATGTGCGGGATCGAGGAACGTCGACATTTCTGTGGTGACGTGGACAGTGTTCAGCGCGACCACGAAAGGCCTCAAAGCGACGCGACGCGAGAAACTCGCGTCCTTTCGGCGTGTGGGGACTCGCGGGTCGGTCCCGATATGCTAATGGATAAGGTTAAGCCGTGACGCGCCGATCTTTCCGCTTGCGAAACGACGGTACATTAAAACCACGCGCTTCGTTCGTTCGTGGCGCGACGCGGCGTGCCTGGTCGCGCTCGCTAACTCTTCGCGTCATGCGCGTGACGTAATCACGATTAGAGGCAGCGACGCAAGATTACACTGTGGTTCCGCTTGCGATTTCTATTCTTCGCACATTGGCGTGCCGCGATTTCGAAGATGGAAACAATGATTTTTTTCCTTTCTTTTTAGTGGAAATGACGGTTAAGGTGATTGGTGATTCCTTGCTTCTTGCAGCCTGACGTAGAATAGTAGATAAAATTTCAAGAGAAATAGTAGAATTTCCAACTCCTATATTATCTAGAGTAGTCACAAATTCCTCATCCTAAAGCTTCATATCTTTTCCCTAATTTCCAGACAAAATTTCATGATTTTCTCTGGTGCTTTTAATAATATTTTGAATTACTCTCTGTATTTTTCTCCTGATTTAGAAACCGTTAAATATTTTGTTAAGAGATTAATTTGACATAGCAATGTAAATTACTATTAATGCTTGCATTTTTAGTTGTTAAATTGATAGTATTTCAAAACTGCGTATATAGATGTGATATACGCATATTAAACTTTTTAAAAGCCAAAAATTTTTATGTTCTAGAAAAATTTGCAAAATTTCTCGCCTTTCTTTGATTTCCCTGACCGTTTTCAGTTTCCCTCATATTTCCCTGATTTCCCTGAGTTCCAATTTTGTGGTAACCCTCTAATCTACATTTTATTTCTTAAATTAGGAGATATAAATAAAAAATAAATTTTACCTTTATGCTGTTCCGTGTATATCTATTTTGATTTTACCTCGAATAAGCCAGCAGGACTAAATAAGCAGAATCAAACTTATTCTATTTTTTAATACCCATTTTATACTAAATTGTATCATGTAATGTCACATATAAAAATTTTATATCCGGTGCTGTTTTGAAACAAAAAAACGTGATGCTGCTAACTTAATATTAAGTTTAGGAGAGGAACGATATCATTGAAACGCTGTTAAAGTAGATATGTCGGTTAATTCGTTGTCGTATGGGCTGCCGCAGACAAAATTTCTGTAACAGTAAACTTAAGCCGATGAGCCAATCAAGATACTGCTTTAGATCTACGTAATCTGAGGGAAATAGAAATAGCAGTAAATTTATCCATAAGGCGAGTTTCAACCGACTGAAATTCGCCTTATTGCAAGGTTATGGATAAGTTTACTGTTATTTTCATTTACGTTAGATTACATAGACCTAAAGCAATATCTTGATTGGCTCATCGGCTTAAATTTACACTTTACGCATATGTTACGGAATTTTGTCTGCGGCAGCCCTATTTCATGGACTATGTAAATCGCCGTGTACAATGTTTCGGCGTTAGATTAATGCCATTCTCAGAATAAACAGCTCCATTCGATCGGCTTCGTGGAGCCGCGGCGGTGATTTCATGAGTTCGTTAAATACGAAAACGTAGATCTCCAAATTGGACTTTGATATCTAAATTCGATATTCAGCGGAAAGATTCATGTATGTTTCCGGTTAAGCTCCTATTTAAATATACCAATGCACTTTGCATTTCACTATCAAGACGAATTTATCACAATGCTAATCTGGTCAATAATAAACTTCTCATTGCGTCTTTTAGGAATACTAAAATTTAATTATTAAAATTTAATTATTAAAGTTTATTATTTATAAGTTAAACCGCGTTATATAAAGAGTCCTCTAGTTACATTCGAGAATTAACTATACATAAACTGATAGGTATATAAATTAATTTATAAATGATGTAAGTTTTTATGAGATAATTATAATTTTGTTGAATATTGTACGATATTTTGTTTAATTTGTATAATTATTTGTCAGTTATAGTTGTACCTTTATTTGTTCGTATTATTTTTGGCTCGTACGGATTAAAATAATGTAGGCGCAAAATGGAAAAAGATGATCGCAGCAATGAGTACGCGAATGGAGCGAATTTGCAACTGGCTACGGGGCGCCTGTTAGCTTTCTTATAAGATCTTTTTCACCAACCTCGGATAAGTTAACCGACGGCTATATGGGCCTCATTTAGGACCAGTTTCACAATTCATGGTTAACTTTTAACCGAGATTTGCTTGGCATGCGTGTCGGTACGGCGTGGGCAGAAGACTACGTTTTCGTCATAAGCAAATTCTGGCCCTAAACTGCCACTGCCACTCTTTGCCAAAAGATGAACCAAGCGGCGTCTGTAAAGTTAGCACTCCAACATTGAAATTCCATAGTTCTCATTAGAGTTCCCGTTTCTTTTTGTCGAGACGAAGAGTTCTCTATAATTTATAACAAGAGTTCCGCTTAATAACT